ACAGTAACAACTAATCTTAGAAATAAGAAGGCAACTATAATGGTGAGTCTAGATCTCGAAAAGGCGTTTGACACTACATGGATTGAAGGAGTAGTATACAAAATGTATAAAACGTTTGGCTTCAATAAAAACGTTTGTCGCATAATTTACGACTATTTAAGTGACAGATCGTTCTTCGTTTGCAACAGGGATGAAAACTCGATTGAAAAAGATATAGTAGCAGGGGTTCCTCAGGGATTGATTTTAGGTCCAATGCTATTTAATATATTCTTGGCTGACTTGCCAGAACCGAGCGAGGTTTTATCTTTATTGATTTATGCTGATGACATTCTTATCCTGTCATCAAAGGGTAATTTGTCAAAAGCTAATGCTGAAATAAATAAATATTTGAGTAAATTGTCTGATTTCTTTAAACTATGGAAACTTAAGATAAACCCTAGTAAATGTATTTGCACAGCAGTCAAGGGCCTAAAAAAAAGACTGTATCCTTCTGCGCGAGCATTTATACCTAATATTAGCATTGATAACACAACTTTAAAATATCAAACTCAGATTAAATATTTGGGAGTAATCGTTGATGAAACCTTCAGGTTCATTCGTCATATTGATTTTACTCTGTCGAAAGCAAAAACAATATTTTTTATGTATATTTCTTTCCTAAAAAGAGCAAAAGATTTGAGCAACAACATCAAACTTAATTGCTATAAACAATTAATAAGACCTATTTTAGCTTATGCCTTCCCCATTTGGTTTGGAATTTCCTCAAACCAAACGGAAAGGCTGCGTCAGTTTGAGAGGACAATCCTTAGAATTTGTACCAACACAAATCATGGGCCATTCAGACATGGCTTCAGACGGAAAGTTTCTAATAAAATACTCTACGAAAAATGTAAAATCGAGCGCATTGATCAATTTATGATAAAATCTGCATTGAAATATGTTAATAAGTTAAAAATTTGTAAAAATAAATTGATAGAAAAATACTGTCTTAAGGAGAGCTTTATTAGCTTTCCATTTGAAGAAACATACTTGTCTCCTAATTATTTGAACGTATTAAATAATAACAATGCCTTGTTCAAAGAAAACNTTTCCATTTGAAGAAACATACTTGTCTCCTATTTATTTGAATGTATTAAATAATAACAATGCCTTGTTCAAAAAAAAAAAAACTTCTCTTCTATCATAGAAAGTTTAATACTCTAAATTTAACTGATACTGTATATAATATAAATCAAAATAATTTCGAAGTAAAACAAAGTGTTGTATACCCTTTAGAATAAGCCTTTTGTAAATATACTTCCTACTATTCTTCTTAGATCTAAGTTATTTTTTAGTTTTTACAAGATATTAAAAGAAAATCCATTTTTTTTAACTTTTTATGGATACATTAAATTGAAAAGAAATATTCATTGAATATAGCCAAACCACATTATTCTAAACCTTAAATAAAAACTATGAGCACTCTTAGAT